ACCAAACTTTCAACATTTTTCAGGTAGAAAATTATACCAATCAAACACAATTAATTACAATTCCCAGGAAAACATTTTTTAGGAAAATCTTTTCCCTGTAAAACATTTTCTGTCCACCAATTTTCCATCATTGCAATTAAACGGACCCTAAAAGTTTAAAGAAAATCTAATGAACATGGCTATGGGGTCGAACTCGACCCATGTCAATTCTTCAATTTTGTAAGAGTCAATCTAAATTCGATCATCAACTTGTATCAATTTTCATGATATGTTGAGTTGATTATTCAGTTCAAGACAACACACATGATCAATCGTGTACTGTTGAACTAACCGATGAATTGGTACAAAATTGGATCGATTTTCATATATTCTAATAAAGTCATTTGGACTTTGGGTTGTAAGATCCGTCCAAAAAAAATATGTAAGTTTTAATTTAAGTTGAAGACAGTATTTTTCTTGCTAGTATGATATGAATTTTTTGAGTTATGACGTGATTTTCGAAATTATATAACTTATATTTATGACATTATTTGAAGTAGATTATTGAAGGAAAACAAAAGAGATTAATAAAATTTGAAAATACAAAAATGTAATCTAAAAAAGAAAAAGAATAAATGGCCCGAAAACGTGACATCAGACGCGTCATAGTTCACACTAAAATCTATCACATAAATCGCACTTTGTCTCTTATTCGTATGTTTTTAATCCAAAAAAAGAAAAACAAAAGCCATTACTTTCTCTCACTACTTGCTTTGCCCAATTCTATCTTCCACGTAGCACTCTCTCCCTCTAAACTGAAAGCAAAAGGTCACACTCCACACTGACCTCCATAAATTTTTTGTCAACAGAACAAGATAAAAAAAGTAATTCTGGCGAGAATTTGTGCTTTTTTTTCTTTTATAATGAATCAGCTCTCTCTGAGATCTCACTTTCACCATTGATATTATTTTACTATAATATAGAGCTCATACTTCTCTGTAGGCGCTACTTCCATTTCAGTTCTGGTAAGTATTTCTCTCTTGATTTGCATTTTCTTATTATGCTTCTGTTAATTTGTAGGAACAATTTTTTTTTTTTGAATGTTATGATTTGGCGCAGTATTGAGTTTGGATGCTTGCGTAATAGCTTTCTGTTCTGTCGGTGGCTTTGGGTTTTTAATCTATTATAGTGTTTTTGAAGCTAGATCTGACTTCGGAGGTTGGTTTAGTGTTTGTTACTATATTTTGATTCAATTTTTGTTTCTAATAAAATATCTAGATTGTCCGATTTGATTTTTGAATTCTTGCCTAGTTTACGTAATTAGAATGTTTATATTTTGGTGTGGTTTTTTTGGTTATTTCAAATTGATATCTAAGGTTAGTTTAAATTAAATTTTGTTCATCTCTCCATTCAATAACAGGCACGTAGCATCCTTCTTTAATTGGATCAGACCTCCTAACGTGCTTATTTAGATGTGGATTTGAATATCACATGGAACTGCTTGTTTTCGTTTGGGAGGTACAAGATATATCTCCACAACCCTTGCTTCATTTCTATTTCTCAGCATATTTTTTACTTCTTGCTCATTGTTAATTCTATATAAGCCTTTTCCCAATGATACTTCCGGCTTCCTATAGAATAGTTCCATTTGCATATTAGGACCTCATGCTTTTGTGAAATTTTTCAGCATTTCACTTGTCAAAAAAGCTGGATGAACGAAATCCATATACAGAACCTAACCATGCTTATATGTGATATTGTTTGGCTTTTCAAAGAACCTTCCTCCATGGTAGACCCCATTGTGAAATAATCTGTACTGGGACCTGTATGAACATGGTAATGACATTCAATTACGAATGTATTTTCTACAACATAATTACGTGCATGCAGATTACAAGCCCTTATCAAAAGGAAAAAAAAAAAAACTAACCGTATTCAGGTGCCTCCACTTGGTAAAGTCTGAATCTTGGATATTGCATTTCTACATGGATAAGATATTAAAGCAAGCTAAATAAAGAAGTACAGAAACTTTTGAATAAACAAAAAATGAAAAATGAAAGCATGGAATGAAAATGAACAAACTTTTGAATCTTACATGGACAGAATACCCACTAGTTGCAGCTATTCCCACATTTGAATAAACAAAAAATGAAAGCACAGAAACTTTTGTTGACATAATTAATAACGAGGCTTGTTTATTAGGTAACAGAAACAAAAAATGAAAGCACAAATTTTTTTTTTTTTGAGATGTTGGGCAGATTACATAGTCACCATATTATAGGATAAACTCTTGTATTAAGTGGTGATCTTGAAACAGCACAAACTAACCGACTTGAGCAAAGAACTTCAAAGCCACAAGTATTCTGGTAAATTGGAATAAACTTGGCTAAAATACATATCATTCCATATGAATTCAAGCATAAATCTCAGAAGGCTCCATAAAAAATATGTAAAATCACTAGTATTGCATATTTATTACTTAACTGGAGGACAAAATTACCCTTTTGATATGATCTAAATGCAATCCATGTGTATGTTTAACGGAAGGAACAAACGGAATGGACAGAAAGGACCAACTTCACAAAAAAAGGTTTTAAATGCCAAATTTCAAACGATAGGGATGATTTGCACAATTGGTGCAAAGGATAGGGATGTTTTGTGCTAATTACCCTTATTTTTACATAATGTCTGCACACGTATTCCTTGATTATTGAGAAGTAATGGAATTTTGTTACTGATATGTGTAGCAGGTCTGCTTGATGTTGTGAATGTAGAATTTTGCTCAAGGCTTAGTAAAACTTGGTCTGCATGCAAGTTAACTTCTTCTTCTTTCTTTTTTTTCAACCGAAGTGTAAATTTAAATAAATATGAAATCAATGCTAATGGAGTATTTCTTCTTTTCTTTGATCAGGTTATCACAATTTTGAAATAAACTGGTAAAATGGACGGAGTTATAGATATCAGTGTGCCGCTTGACTACATCGAGTTCCACATCTTTCCTAGCCAGAATAGGTTTATACTTTTATACTTCAAATACTGCTTTTAAGAATGCATATGCCACCATAAAAGCACTTTGCCTCTCTCATTTATTTATTTATTTCTTTATATAGGTACGAGGCATGTATATTCTATGACAACAAGATAGAAAAAGTAACATCTGGACTTCTGGAGCATTTGTTACAGCATTCAGCTGAAGTGAAAAATTTGCGCTCGAAAGGATCCAATGCCAAATTCAAACTTCAACCGCCTGAAAATGTTTCTGACATCAAATGGTTTACAAAATCAACATTGATGAGGTTCAACAAGCATTTCTTGTTTTACGAATTTACTATCTCAAAAATGATCTAAGATATTGTTTCCGTTTCCCTCTTACTGCAATTTCTATTTTATTTTAACTCAGATTTCTGCATGTCATTGGTTTATCAAACATACTCAATATTACCAATACTGTGAAGAATGAAATTTCTCAGCTGGAAGAAGTTCGCAAATTTCAGCTTTCTTTATATGCAAAGGTAACTTCTGTTAATACTCAACTTCAGTTAATTCTCCTTGTTGAATTAACCTCTGAACGTAATATTAATATTTATTCTTTTCTCAGGACACTCAAGATCTGCACAAGAATTGCAAATCAGGTTACTGTTGTCTGATGCTATTTTTGTATAAGCTTGACAATTGCTTTATAGTGATTGTTTTTTTTTTTGTTTAAATCTGATTTTGATAATGTGAATAGTGTTGAGTTTTGAGCGTCTCATATTTTTCTCAACAACCCATATGCTCTTATCAACCAAGAGATAGAAAAACTAACCGCGACAGGGCTTATTAAATGTAAAGATAAGGTACATATTTAGTTCACATCATTCTGCAGCTGATACTGATTAATATTTATTAAAAAATTTGACAGACAACAGCTACTGTACTGGCACGGCATCAACTCCAAAAGTAATTAGCTATTCGTTTCTTGGTTTTTGTCTTTGTCACCTAATAGAATTGCTCTTATGTATCTATTTTTACTGCTAATATTATGAAAGGTGTTTCAGCAGACTGAAGGCAATGCTGAGCCATTAGATGCTTCCAAGTATGTCTGCAGTTACGACTTGATTAGGAAAAACTAACTTATCGATATGTAAATTTTTACATGGTATAATCTCCTTAATCTGAACCATTAATTGCCGGCAGGGATGAATTGCTGCAAGCAATGGAATTGAGGATAGCTGCATTGAGAGGAGAACTGGTCTCTGCTTTCGACCAAGCTGCTGGTTTTAGATATTCTGTTGAGGAGATCACTGATGTAGAGAAGTTTTCTGATCATTTTGGATCATTAGACTTGAGGTACCTCTGGTTATAGCTTAGGGTGCATCAAGTCATGGTCACTCATAAAGCATTGCTCTCTTCCCCTGTTATAAGAGACACATTTTATACTGAGTGTCTATGAGTAACAGTTATTGAGCGTGTATATTTGTTCCAGGGATTCCTTGCACAAGTATGTGGAACTGAGAGAAGGAAACCAGGCTGTCGATACTTATGCTGAGAAACAGAATAAGGGGAATGATGAAGTCATAGGAAAAGAAGGGAAAAATCATATCAAATCTTCGAATTCAGATACACCAGTGAAGTATGGTGTTTCTCCGGCAAAAGTTGCACAGATTGAGAGGAAAAGTTCAACAGACAATGAGGATTCTTCTTTCTCTAGTGAGGAAGACCAACCATTTGTGGAAAGAAGTCGGACTCTTGTAAGATCTGCTTCACCTAAGAGGGCAGCATCTCCAATGCGGAGGGTCCAAATTGGACGATCTGGATCCCGGAGGTCTACTGCATTAACTATTAAATCTCTGAATTATTTTCCAGCTAGAGAGAGGCCAGTTTTGCCTAAAGATCCAGATGCGGATAATAGTGATGAAGAAGCAAATGAGGAAGCTCCTAAAAAATTTGAGAATAACGTACGGAGAATGAGTGTGCAAGATGCAATCAGTCTTTTTGAAAGCAAACAGATAGATCAAACAACGGATATTCAGAAGTCGAGGGCTTTGTTAAGTGCTTCTGTTGATGCAAATAAATCTGTACTGAGAAGATGGAGTAGTGCAGTGGGTGAAAGTTCTCAGTGTTCTCCAGATATGGATTCTGAAGATATAGTTCCCAGTAATTTGGAAAACAGGGAATTAAGTCATAGTTCACCAAGAGCCAAGCCCATGCCTTGTAAGCCTCGTGAAGTAGATGTCACTACGAATTCACCTGAAAAAGGAGCATGCACTGCAGCTGGTGTGCAAGGAGAGTGTCTTCCATCACAATTGACACAGGTTAGTGAGAAATTAACTGCCTCGGCTGAATGGAGTCGTCATAAGGAAGCAGAATTGAATCAGTTGCTGATGAAGATGGTGGAAACTAAGCCTGTAAAATATCGGAATGTGGTACCTGATAACAGCATATCTGAAAAGTTGCCCAATGAGCAGAGAGGTGATCAGTACAATCATTACAAGGAGAATAGAGAAGAAAAACTTCGAGGAGAAACTACTAGAAAGCGAGTTGAGAAAGAAAAACATATTAGTGCAATGCAACGTATTCTTGATTCAAGAAAGGATGCAATGACCTCTCCTGCGATAAGTCAGACTATCAAACGAAATAATGTCAAGAAAGTCCAAAAATCACAAAAGAATCCGACTCTGTCTGCAAATCCTAAGGCAGAAAGTACAAATTCTAATGTTATGAAGAAAGCTGTCTCAAAATCTTCTTCTTTGCCTGCCACACGTAAGTCGTGGCCATCAGCACCATCCCCAAGAGCTCTTGGGACATCGCCTGCTAAAATCCCTGCAGGAAAAACTTCCACTGGTACTACACCAACACGTAGAAAGTCACAGCCAGCATCACCAGTTTTGCGATCTACTCCTAAAGTGGAAACATCGCAACCCAAATCTAAGCCTGTAAAACCAAATCAGAGTGACACTAAGAAGAGCGGTAGAAGTTTGCCTGACAAGAAGCAGCAGACATTGACAAAAATGAGCAGAAAACCTAAATGCAAAGTTCAGTCTGCCACTGAAGATCCTATTTCCTCTGCAAAACCTAGTTCATACAGCAAGGTTACCAAGAAGAGCAGTGTGGTTCCTCTGGAATCAAAGCCTTTTCTTCGCAAAGGCTCTAGAGCTATATCTAGTGCTAATCCAGCTGGGAAGACAAAAACATCCACCCAGTTGAAGGAACCATTGAGGAACTCTGCGGATATAATTGCAGCTGAGGAAAATGAAGCGGTTTCTAACTCTTGTGATGCAGTCATTCAGCAGCAAGAGATGGAAAGTGAACAGTTGAGCATTCTCGCCGATATGGATTCTGAAACCCCGGATAAGAGCCCACATAAGTGTGAAGACACAGAGAGCTCCACTGAAGTTACACCTGCAAATTACAATGATAGCTTTGACAGGATGGCAGAGCCTGAAATGAAAGCTGGGGCTGAAGGAGAATCAATGATCTCCCCTACAGCTTGGGTGAAAATGGAAGAGCTTGATGATCAGCCCATTACCTCTGGTGACAGTATTTGCCAAATTGAATCCCCGGTCTATGTAGCACCAATTACAGCATCAAATCCATGTGTTCGTCATTCTCTGTCGCAAATGCTGCTCGAGGAGAGCAGTGAACCTGATATCTCTGACTGGGGAAATGCCGAAAACCCGCCAGCAATGATATACCATAAAGATGCACCCAAAGGATTCAAGAGGCTGTTGAAGTTTGCTCGAAAGAGTAAAACTGATGCGAATTCAACTGGTTTGTCTAGTCCATCTGTCTTTTCTGAAGGAGAGGATGAGACCGAGGATCCCAAATTTGCCAGCAAGAGAAGTGCTGAAAATCTCCTAAGGAAGGCAACTCTTCACTCAAAGAACATTGGGCATCACGAAACCCATGAGAGACATTCAGCGGATTATGTACATCTTGGTTAGTTTCCTTAAATCTTTTATCTGTTAGGAATTGATAGATTCATTTTGAAGTGCAAATCCTCAATACCCGCCCATTTGTGCAATCATAGTTAAAAAGAAAAGTATAAAAGAAGAAATAATAACTAATTTTGTTGAAACCACCTCATACAAAAGCTTAAGCTGTTGTAGAAGGGATAAATTTCTTCGTTTATTTTTGTCTTCACCACCTCTTCACATGACCAAATTCATATCTTAATCAAAGGCCTCACGTGTATAATTTTCCTAATTGTGTGGTAGTGCGGCTCGAACTTAATATATTTGCATTGTGTGCTTTGATATTACGTTGAATCACCTCATAAAAAAACTGAAGTTGTTAGAGAGAGCGGACGTTTAATTTTATATTTATCTTTGACAAATAGATTTCAGGATAGAGGGGAAAATGAACCACTTATAATTAAAACTGCCACACGCTTCTCTAGTGATTACCATAGTCTCATTTCACTCGATTTCTGGTATGGATCAACATCCAGATGCTGATAGCATGGGTGGTTTTTTCATTTTTATCCCAGCTCAATCAAATAAAAGCAAATACAGTGCTCCTGGCTTGTCTCAACAGTTACAGGAAGGTCGTATCTCAGCATCTGCGACAACAACAAAAGGTTACTTCGGTTCATTGTTTAATGTTGTTACTTTCACGACACTGCGATGCAGTATTCTAATTTTTTTTTTTTGAATTTCAATGTCGTCTTTCAGCAACTAGGTCATTCTTTTCTCTTTCAGCCTTCAAGGGGAGCAAATAGAAAAGGAAGCTTAAACAACTAATTAATACTGAATCTGGAAAGTGGCCAGCTGCTTGGATTGATCTAGTGCTGTTTCTGTTTTCGCCGGAAGTGATTGTTCAAATTCACGAGATTATCCTTCTGTTTGCTGTATGCTGTGATGAAATTATTGTACTTCTAGATTTAGTATTTAACAGTAAAGAGTACTTCCAATGCACAAATTGGTTATTCTGTGTGATAGAAAAATATGTAAAATTTTAGCAATTTCTGGACATGGTCCGGTTCGGTTCTGTCTGTGCGATAGATAAATATGTAAAATTTTAGCAATTTCATTTCTGTAGATCACAAATCACACCAAATTTGAGTTAAATATTCCTATTTTTTTTTTTTTTCTTTTTCTTTTTTTGCGGTTACTCTTTTCTTGCTTCTGATGCTAACTGCTCCTAATATTGTTCCAAATTTGTTAGTTTTGTATGTTTGGTGCGTAGTACCTATGACAATATTTAAAATATATACATGTCGTTTATTTAACAGTTTAAGTTGGCATTCAAATTCTCTTTTCTACTGTTTTCTTATTAATTTCTTATGGCTGTTTCATTAATTAAGGGTATTAAGATGTGTAACAGTAATTTTTTAATTTTTTTTAAGTTTAATAAAAACGAAAACCTTTTTGAAGCTGATAAAACGTTTCTAAATCATATCTCCTACATTTCTTGTTTTTCAAACTAGTCACAAATCATCTTTTCTAAATCAAAATGACAACACTCAGATTCTTGTTTATGACGCTTGCTCTTGTTGCATTTTCAGCACAACCAGCACTAGCACTTGAATCCCAAGAACCACCCTCTCATGCGGCGGAGCCACCATCTCATACCGAGTATACTCCTACAGAGCCCTACCCCGGTTTTGACTACTTTGTAGAGATGTGTCTGCACAATATATCGATTGAGTGTGAAAGTGAAATCTACAACAGCATTTTACTTAATTACAGTGTCAACGACAAGTGCTGCCCTCAGTTGGTGGTTATGGGGCAACGCTGCCTCGAAGCTATCTATGAAACAGTTGTTGCAACGATATCGGATTTCAAAAAAAGAGATGGGACACAGATTATGAAGAGAAGTGTTGAAACTTTGGACCGATGTGTTTTGATCACAAATATTGAATCCTACTCTCCATTGCCATCGATTGAATAGAACTAATTTTTTATCAGTCATCTCCAGAACACTTCATTTATAGTGAACAAGAATAAAAAAATCCGAAGGGATTCTAAAATTTGAAGCACAGTTTAAAATAGAATGAAAACTTTTGATCTTATAATTTCGTGTTTTATTGTTGAATTCTCATCTGTCGATGGATATTAGGCTTCGGCATACGTTGAAGAAGCTGAAACTACAAAAACTCCGCGCTCTGATCGCATCAGAGGGGAGAAAACCTGAAAATGAAAAAAAAAACATAGATTCGGACAATACATACATTTACAAACTGAAACAATAGATTTTAAACTTTTGTAGGAGGAAGTATCCACTTGGAACCCTCTACAAAGGCAAGGCTGATGAATGGTTTAGCATCTGCATCAGTTAGCTTCTTATTGTATTTACGTTTATCCAAGTTTGCTCCAGGGCCTTTGTTGTTATATTCTCCAAAGAATACTGACCTGCATAGAGACGGGAAAAGTTAATAGAACTGATAAGAACCCTGAAATTGGTAATCAGAATGTGTAGGTAGAGATGAAAGAAAAAGCAAGAATGGCTGACTTTTCATGTCCAGGTTCAAGAAGGGACCATCCTTCAGGGTTAACAACATCACTCATTTCTGTGTAGGCATACACCACTTTAGCAGCTGGCTTCCAAGATCTGCCCAAATAGGCTACACCGCCCGAGCCAGTAATCTTACTGTGCAGAAACGAGTAGCCTGTGTCCTCTGAGTCACTTACTCTTGCTTGTGCAGAGATAAAAGCCACTGGATCCCCGGGAATCACATGTACCTCTGTGTTCTGCATGTGTATTTTCATTAGAGTAATGCTAATTTTCACGGGATTTCATATGGCACAGATTCATTAGCAAATGACAAAAAAATAAAAAACTGTCTGCAAATCAGGTCCTGCTGTATGGATTCTGTGAAAGAATTCCGGTACATAAAGAGAATATTTGTTTTCATTAACATCCATGCATGCAGTAGCAGAGCCAGAATTTTCACTAGGGGGCGGAACAATGTTGGAAAGGCAAAATTAGAAATGATCTCTTGCCTACTGTGAGCAGGAGCCATAATCTTCACCTTCTAAGTGGTGTTGTCAAGTCAGCATGTCAAACATTTTTTATTTTGAAAAGTAAAAAAAAAAATACAGCTTGACTATTGATGTGGTGACGTCACGCCAACAGTAGGCAATTGTTATCCTGCCCACTGTGAGCAGGAAGATCAACTTCGAAGACCAAATGTATACATTACCAGATAGATGGATTTGCCGCTGCCAAAGATGAAATCAACAGTGCCCTCAATGTAGCAGTCTTTATATAAATGCTTTCCTCTATCATCACAAAGGGTATCTTGAAATCCATAGAGCTTGACATTATAGAAAGATGATTTGTCACCACCTATTCTCAATGCAGCTGCCTGACCTCCATCCATTTTTCTGTACGGTCTTGGTGCGGAATTCTAATTAATAAACAAACAACGACACTAAATTATGAGTATAAATTGATGAAAATGAAAGAAAAACAAGAAATCATGTAAGGATATAGATACATACGACAATTTTCAAGTTAACAGCATTGAAGTAATCTGATTCCACAATCAAAGTGGCACTCTCCACAGTGTTATATACTTCTGCTGTTCCACCAAACACAAGAACTGGCATATCATTTGGATCTTCCCCATAGAAAGTGATAAATGGTTTATACATTCCAATCTTAACCTTCTCACTGTAATTTCCAGGCGCAAGAGATAAAATAACGCGTTTAGTATTTCCATCGGGGATGGTTTTTATGGCATCACTAATAGTCTTGAAATCGCCGCTTCCATCACTCTTCAATTTAATCACCTTGGGTTCTGCCTCCGCGGTTACTAGAGCCGGGTCCAAGGTGGCTTTCCGGGCAGTTAGTGGTTGAACAATGCCATCAAACCAACTGTTTATTTGAGCACTGTCAGCTGGAATAGGTACTGTATCGTCAGAAATAACAATGGGAATGCACAGAACAATGCTCACTAGAACTGCCTCGAAGGCAAAACGAGACACATTTTTTCCAGCCATTTTGTCTGTATTTTAATTCCTTATGAATATGATTGAGCTCGGAATACAAATTTATAGAAAATCCATGTTACAAGGTAAATAGCAAACTAGAGACGAAGAGAAATTCTAGTAGAAAATATGGTTGTATTGAGTTTTGTGGTTTGTTATAGCTAATGTCTTAGATGAGGCACATTTAGGATATGGTGCTTTAATGTAGGATCTCAGTGTGAATTAGAAAAAAGCATGTTTGTGGTTCGTCCGTCTCGCTTGATTTTTTGTCTCGGCTATTGAGGGTGACATTTTGTCACGAATGAAATTGATGGTCTCAAAAACAAAAAAAAAAAGGACTTCTAACAAGGAATTTACATGCAGAGGAATCTCAAAGAAATAAAACCTAGTAAACTATTAAAGCAATACCCACAAAGATTGAATTCAAACGTAATAATTTAGTACTCTTTATTAAATTAGTATCTGCTTAAAGTTTTTCAAGTATCAAAAAAAAATACTTGAGGAATATATTTGCCTATCAATAGAGATTTATGAAATTTCATCCTGGGTAATATGTTTCAAATATTCTTAAATACTAACTATACGCATATCAAGGTATTGATTACATTATAATCTCACTCATTTATAATTCAAAGAGTCTACTTACTGATAAGATGTATTGTACTATTTGATCGAGCGAAAATATCCGATGGGACGGGGTGGGAATGGCCGATCTGTCCCATACCTGCCCCGTTACCATCCCTATCCTTACTATCAAATCAACCCTTCCTGTTGGGTATTTTCTCAACGAATAAGTATGAAGAAATTAACAGTACTTCTTTGTTTTTGGAGTTGTTCTGCAGATCGATCGCTAAAAAATTAATGCATTTTTAGCAAATGCATTATTTGCTAAAAATGGGGCTCAAACATGAAATCAATTGTAAAATAATTGATTTATTTAAAAATGAAAAAGATATTGGCAACCACACCCACCCCACCCACTTATTACAATTTACAATTGTCCGTCTTTTGTATAGGTCCTTGCGTTAAATGCAGGGAAAGGAAACCAAAAATCTTTGGATTCTAATTCCACTGAATCCCACCTCTTTCTATTATCTCTCTATTTTTCGTGGAAGTTCCATACCATCCACTACAAATCGCCAAACTCCGATTCTCTTGTAAATTCATGATCCAAATATAGTCTACACACGCGAATGCAGATATAAATTCATTCAATAGATACATAGGATCGAAATCTCATTCCGCCCCACCTCTTAATATTAAAATGTTTTAAATTTTTATCTAATTTTGAAAGAAAAACTTCCAAATTTGATTAGGGAGTTCAAAACGATGGATAGATTAATTTAATTGATATTAAAATGTTTAAATTTTTATCTATTTTGAAAAAAAGCTTTGAAATCTGATTTTTGAATTGAGTATTTTAAAACTTGATATGTGTAATTTTCACTTTTTTCAAAGTTGCGAGTTAAATGCAAAAATGGAAGGCCCAACAGCAGGCCCACTAAAGGTCGGATAATGGTCATAAATGATCGGCTCCACTTTTTCAAAGTTGCGAGTTAAAGGCCAAAATGGAAGGCCCAACAGGAGGCCCACTAAAGGTCGAATAATGGTCATAAATGATCGGCTCGGTTCCCTTACCGGAAACGAACCGTCGCCGCTAGATAACAAAAGGCAGAAAACAAGGACGTCACTGTTGCTCCCATGGCTTCCGCAACCCATTTATCCTTCTCTCCACTTCTTTCTCTATCTAAAAACCCAATTCAAAAATCCAAAACCACCAGACCTCGAGTTTCAGTGAAAACTCGCTCAGCGGGCAAGGATTTGGTCGATGATTTTGGAGCCAGGGACCCATTTCCAGCAGAGATAGAGAGCAATTTTGGTGAGAAAGTGCTCGGAAATGTAGACACCGAGCATAAGATTTTGATTCCTACTGCTGCAGCTCTTTCTCTTTCGCAACAGCAGTGTACTCCCATCTCTCATCTTCAGCAACCTATGCCTGAGAATGAAGCCAAAAAGATGATGTTCAAGGTATAATCTGTGTTTCCATCAAGTCTCATTCTTGTTTATTGCGTTATACTTCACCGGGTTTAGTGCATAACTGGTAGGTTGTAACTCAACTTGTATAGGTTGTTGCCTGGAGACTTGTACATGAAGAAGAGGGTATAAAGTTTCAGGGTCTGTGGAAATTGAGGGATTTCAAGTGTGCCGCTGAACTCATTAACAGGATATGCAGGGTTGTAGAGTCTACGGGGCATTTTCCTACTCTTCATTTAGAGCAGCCCAATCAAGTTAGAGCTGAACTATAGACTGCTTCAATTGGTAAGAGATAGTAAAGAGACACTGAGCCAGTTTTCTTTTCTGAACTCCAGATCATTGATTTGATTATGCAGTTTCGTAATCAAATGTTGGTATCAATTGCAGGAGGTCTGAGCATGAATGATTTCATCGTTGCTGCTAAAATAGACGAGATAAAAACTTCAGATCTTGTCCCCAGAAAGAGAGTTTGGGCATAACTGAAGAATATATATTCAGTACACTGTAAGCTCTTTTTTCCAGCCAATTTAACAATGACCTTTACAAAATCATTACATTTAAAGACCGGAATGAAATCCAATTCAAATGAATGATCAATTGTACCTAATAACTTGTACATGCATTTCAGTTTTCGATTCTTACTGTTTGCAAAGCGAGATATTATTGCGTTTCATTTTATAAATTATTGGCTTCTTTGGATAACATTAATGGCACGGAGAAGAAAAAAAATATTGAATTTTCGCGTATATAAGGGCAAAACAGAAATCATTTATTAATAAATCATCAATGCTTCATGCAACAAAAATATAAGATCCAACTTCAAGACCTCACACAGCAAATCCTCCAAACAAACTCAAACAATATATCAGTAAAATGGAAAAGGGAATCAGGGGAAAATAGATTGGGTCGAAAGTGTACTAATTGAGAGGGAGATGGACACGGACACTAGTACTTGCATCCGTCCGGCAAACTGGGCAGGACCTGGTTGCCTCTGTCCGGTTTGCCTCGCAACGTGGGCAGATGCAAACATGGCAACATGGCCACAGCATCACTGTTGCAAGCCTGCTCTCGCAAACTTTGCACTCGAGGTTCACACTGAAATCTCGCTCGGGATCCACATATGATGACTCTGCGTCCTCTTCCTGTGTCCCCGGATTTGGACCTTCTGACATAGCTGTACGCAGTTCTCCCCGTAGACTGGTCACCAATCGCTCAGTAGACTTCAACCTGCCCGATAAATTTTGTCCGTCCGCTCTGAAACGTGACACCAACTCTTCCAACTTCTTGTTCCTACCAAATAAACGTTGTGCCTCAGCTCTGCAATTTGACAACATCTCTTCCAACTGCTCGTTCTGATGTGCCATTTTAATCAGTTCCATCTCTTGATCTTTCAGTTTTTTGGCCACTATTTCCTCTGCCGCACACTGGAGCATGTTGTAGTGCTTCCCCCACATTCTAGCTAATCCCCACCTCAAATTTTCGTTCTGCGAGTTTTAATAACTGCATTAATTACATTCAAAAAAACCGTAAAAACAAAAGAAAGAAAGAGAAAAACCATTACATGAGTTTGGATCATTTGATCAACTTGAGCGCTCTGGTCTTGCACATTTGGGGTGAGAATACTGCTATCAGCCTCAGTTAGCATGGCTGTGAAAGATTTGAATGGAGCAATTATGTTCAGAATTTCTTGTGCATGGGATTGCCTAGTCTTTGCAACTTGATTCATTTTTCTTTTACGTGATTCATTAGTAACTGCCAACAAAAGCAACTCGTGTAAAAATTTGAAGATCCAAACAAAGAGCAAAGTGGTTATATTATATACACATATACATACATACCTCAATTGGTGTTCAACATTGCAAAATTTTTGAACTTTCGAAGAAATGGAAGATTTGCGGGGCAATAATTTGACCGTTTCTGGAGGGAAAAAAAATAGGGGACAAAACAGATTAAACTCTACTTCAACCTCATCAATCAAATGACAGTAAAAATCGAAAAAAGAAGTGCATGATAGTGTGTGTGAGGGAAACCTGTTGAAGAACAGAAGATGGTGTGGGTGGGAATGATGAACGGCCATGGACGATGATTATAAAGAGATGAATCGGTGCTTGGCAGCCTTTTGTAGAACGGACACGATGGATCATACCAAGAGACGTGAATTTCTTGGAATCACTTCGCAAAATGGAAACAAATTTGAATGCGAAGTGTACATAATCAACACCGGTTTCAAAGATCGGTTGGCATACAAAAATGGAAAAAAAATGTAGATAAGATTTGTTTTCTTTTTGATCCTTAATTTCATTTCAAAGGTTCTATCTATGATCGTCTTTTCAGGTCAAATTCTTTCTTTTTCTTTTATTTTTTCTCTTTTAAAATGGATTACATTTTAACTACAATCGTTCTTTGTCGGAAAAAAATGATAAGTTTATTCTTGCAAAATAAACTAAATAAAAGTTTTTAAAATTAATTTATTGAGTTAACTATGATTTTTTGTCCTTACTTACATGTAGATAATAGATGCTCTCATTTGAAATAGTTGTCGAGTTAATTTCTTCTCGAATGATATTCACTGTTTAAAGCCGAGGATACATCCACCACATCATTCTAGTCCCCAGAGTGTAAACCAAGCTTGAGTACTCATTGAATCTCATCCATCCTATCACGGTCAATGAGTGGTGGTCATCACCGAGTGCTCAAATTAACTCATGGATGATCATCACCATTGCGTGCTGCTGTCATTGTCATCTCATCTACCTGCCCGAATTAACTCACGAGACGAGACAGGGATATTCATGATGAAGGAAGTCTGGAAGCATCGGAAGCAAAATGGTTTTTATTCAAACTGTTGGGACAAATCAATTTTTTGTATTTTTTCTATGTACGTAATTCCTTGCCTTGGGATATTGCATATGTGAGCTATATCCATCTTCCACGTTTTGAACCACACACAAATTTGGGGTACACATTGTAGTAGTACAACATTTCCATGTTTTACTAATTATTTCAGAAAATGACCCCCTTTTTTATATTGATAATTTTGAAATTGCTTTTTTTAATACATAAATTATATATGATATGAAAAAAAAAAAAGAACGACTCATTTAAAGATCTTAGAGCATCTCCAATGATGATGTAAAATTAGATATAAATTTTCGTTTTCAAAATCACTTTTGCAGCCTCATTAACATTCCGATAAATCTAAATTCAAATGTTGATCCAGGAAGATTTAATTCTACTTTTTACCTTCTGTGAATGTAAAAGAATATATAAATTTATATCTTTTTTCATTTTCGGTTGAAAAATACAATTTGTTTTCTTTGAATCTATTCATTGAAGAAGTTTTCTACCACCTCAAAGATTTAAAACACAATTTAGATATATTTTTACACCACAAATAGGATATACTTTTATAAATATAAATTATGTGCAAACCTTCTTTACCACAAGAATGTCAAGTAAAAAAGTTATTTGGTTAAAAAAGATTTATATGATAATACATTATTTACTATTATCCTCTAAAAAAAAAAAATAATACTCACTCCGTCCCATTTATATAGACTTACTTTCCTTATTTGTCCCAATTATATAGAATGTTTTCTTTTGTTCGTTTACTAATATACCCTTATTTCTTTACTACTTCAAAAAATAATTTATTACTAGTTATTGATAATTAAATAAGGATAAATTAGGAAAGTTTTTGATAAAAATTACTTTTTCAATAACATTAAATATTTACTATTAACATTTTGCAAGTTGAAGTACATAGTTGTACTTCCTATAAAACAAGTACCACACGCCCGCCGGCTCCGCAGTACACAGAGTAAAATTTTAGAAGTTTCCAGTGAGAGATAAAATGGTGGCAACTGCAGTTACAGGCATTGCTACTCCATTGAAATTCCCATTATTTTCAGGGTTTCAGAGGTCGAGTCGGAGCTTGCAGCTGAGAATGAGTCAGGTGTGAATTTCTATGAGAAAAATCTTTTACTTTTTTTTATTGAATTGATGAAGAAAATGATGAATTCATGTCAATGTTAAACTGTTTATGATTCTGAGTAAATTAATACGAGGCTTTTTGTGTATTTGTATTGCAGAAAGCTGGTCATGGTGTAATAACTGGCAAACTCGAACTAAGACCTCCACCATACCCACTGGTAAGTAAAACGCTGCTCCCTCCCTCTGTGATTTTCTTCTTCTTCTTTTGTTTTCTGGTTATCTTAGTATTCAGCTTTTTAATGTCGAACCCTATATTATGGATAAATAATTAAGCCCCGTTTGTAATACTTTTGGTGAAAACATTACGGCAGATTTGTAATGTTTTGTATAGATTTTTTAATTATTGATTTTTCGTTAATTTTTTTTTCTTTAACAAATTATTTTTTGTGTGAGAGATTTTCTAATCATAGATTCTAACATCAAATAAATAAAAATTAATTTTAGTAAGTTAATCACACATTGAAAAATAAAAAATGCTTCATTGGACTCTTCTAACATTGTAGGAAAAAAAAAATTCTTTATTGCTATTTTCTAAATAATATTTTTTGTTCAATGAATTAAGATTAGAAAATGTTAATTAAAATAATTTTTATTTTAGTTGTTACTTTGTAGCTAAAGATAAGTTTCTTATTTATTTTAAGTTGGGGGTAATTTTGCAACTTAAAATTGTCAAGAATGTATGCGTAATTTATTGGTATCTATTGCAGATTATTTATATATCCTTTGCAATGTAGCTTCATAGAGGGGAAGAATATATAAAAAGTATAATTTTGTATAAAAAAATTATGTAAATGATGCCGTGAAAAGACTTCACTGGATGATGAGAAAGAAAAAAAAAATATCATTTTTTTTAGTTGAAGATGGAATAGTAATCGATCTGTTAGATAATGAACTACAGGTTAATAGAATGTGTGATTGAAAATAAGTATGGAGAAAAATAAGTTTTAAAGAATGGAGATCAAATAGGGGCACATTCTTTAAAGGGTCATGAAATTCTGGCATTCCACTTAAATTTGAAATAACAAGCTTACACTTTTGCTTGCTCTGTGTTCAATCGTGCTGCTTCATGCTAATTACTATAAAATCTTTATCATAAGCCTATCTTGGTTGTGCAATTTGTGTAATTAATTTTCGATATTCACAACGATGGAGTATGATTTAGGATGCTTTGGAGCCTCATATGAGCCGTTCAACATTTGAATACCATTGGGGAAAGCATCACAGGGCTTATGTAGACAACCTCAACAAGCAAATAGCCGGAACAGAACTAACCGGAAAGACATTAGAAGATGTAATCGTTGCTACATATAACAGCGGAAATCTCCTTCCACCCTTTAACAATGCTGCTCAGGTATGTTTTTATGTGTTGACCGCAGAACTCTGCACATCTATTCACAGAATTCATATGTCGTTTTACACATTTACAGGTCTGGAATCACGATTTCTTCTGGGAGTCGATGAAACCAGGTGGTGGAGGAAAACCATCTGGAGAACTTTTAGATTTAATCAACAGGGACTTTGGTTCTTTTGAAGAATTTGCCAAAGAGTTCAAGACAGCTGCAGCAACACAATTTGGTTCTGGTTGGGCGTGGCTCGTGTGTAAGCCTTTCTATCCCTCTTTTGCTTTTGAATGTATCTATCTAAACATGAAAATTCAACACCTCTTTTATTATTTCCATCTAGACAAGGACGAGGACAAAAAGCTTGCTGTGGTGCAGAGTCCTAATGCTGTGAATCCTCTTGTCTGGGATTACGTTGTGAGTATCTTAGTGTATCAAGTTTCCATTTTAATCATACATTGTATTGAATTTGGTGTTATCATCTAGTTCTTTCATCTATTTCGGTGTAATTGTTCTTATTACCTGACAATCTCATGGCATTGTATTGCTCATTTGTTGCAGCCGCTACTTACAGTAGACGTTTGGGAGGTAATCAATCAGAAATTTTCATAGTTTATTCCTTGAGACGATGACATGTAACTGATTTTCGTGTTTTATTTACACTGTCTTTTTTTTTTGGCCATACACAGCACGCTTACTACCTCGACTATCAGGTCAGTAGTGATTTTCTTCATATTTGTGATGCTCGAAGTCCATCCTTTCTGGCACGTTTCAATAACCTACCATGTCTTCATTTACAGAACCGGAGGCCGGATTATTTATCTATCTTCATGGAGAATCTTGTTTCTTGGGACGCAGTCACTTCGAGGCTTGAATCTGTCAAGGCTGGTTCCGCGTAGAGATAAAGAGAAGAATAAGGCGAATAAAGTGGAGGCTGGAAGAATAGTGGAACGTCAAATTCTGACGCAGTGTAAATGTATTTTGAAAGCGACGATCGTGTGGTTGATTTATTTCTCTTCATAGGATCGTAGCTCTATCAGTCGTGTTTTCCTAATTATGTTTTTAACAGCGTGAATCTATGTGATGTGTGGTCAATAAGAGAATAAAGAACTTGTCGTGATAAATTTCTATTACGTTTTTAATAGGTGAATCCATGAATTGTGCATAAATCAAGCTCTCGAGTATAAACCAAAAGCTCAAATACTCGTTGAATCTTGTTCACCGTAACATGGTCTATCGTCTTTATTCAAACTTTTGGGACAAAGCAAATTCTTGCAAGCTTTTTATCTTATAAGTGAAAATTGTGGTTGATCCTTTTTTCCAAGCCATGGGATTATATACATTTGTGAACTATATGCTATCTTCCAGGTAATGAATATTTTTTATTTAAATCTAAAGTCACAAATTTGTACTACACACTGTAGTAATAGTACTACATTGCATGTCATACCAACCACTTCACTATGGAAAATGACACTTTTTTCTTATATAATAAAATATTTATTAAATTTTGAAATTTACTTCTTTCAATATATGAAATCAAGCGCATGCTTTGTTTTGTTAAAAATCAGATTTTGATAAAAATTGTTGATCTTATGAAATATGTTATTAAAATTAATGTCAAGTAATTCGGGCAAAAGAACATATATCAATGTCAAGCAAGTATCTTATAAATAATTTCGATGTAGAAAACAATTCTCACTTTGGAAATTATTTGGGCTCAAAAATCATATTGTAATAAGAGGTCATAAAACACGTCCTAAGGTCACCACACGCCTGCAGTAAACAACGTTATCACGTGTCTCTCTCTCTCTCTATCTCTCTCCCTCTCATCCGAAAACTTCAGACGGTTCTTATAAGAAAAGATGGTGACAAATGCAGTAACAGCCATTGCTAGTCCATTGAAATGCGCATTATCTCCCTGTCATGGTTGTAATATGATTATATCAATGGAGTCCCGCTAATTAGCGGAGTATTTTGTGATGAATTGTGCACTGATATCTGATTTATGGTGCAGGATTTCAGGGGTCGACTCGACGCTTCCGGTGGAGAAGAAATGAGGTCTGCACTTTGTGTACACGGCAGTCCGGGTGGTTATAGTGTTTCTTATTGAGTTGATGAAGAAAATGATTTTCTGAGTGTAATGTAGCACTGGTGTTTGATAAAATGTCAATGTGAGGCTGTATATGTTTCATGCTTTTTGTTATCTGATTGATTACATAAACTGTTATCCTAATTCTTATTTAGTCGGACTCGGTTGATTTCTATCTAGGATGCCAAAGTTAATTTTGAACCCAAATTTGATGATTTTTTTGTAAATGATACAAGGTTTTATGAGTCTTTGTATTGCAGAGACAGTGTGCAAGGAAAGCTGGCCACGGTGTAATAACAGCCAAATTTGATCTAAAACCCCCACCGTACCCACTGGTAAGACCAGAAAAATACTCAGACTGCTTCCTTTGTGACCTTTTTTTTCTCTCTCTCTCTCTCTCTTTAAAAAAAAACTTTTCTGGATATCTTGCATTCTTTAGATTTACTTCAGCTTATTAATGTTGAATTCTAGATATAAATAAATAATTACGGCTCCATTCTAAGCTTAAGCTTTTATTTGGGGTCACCACCACCCATTTATGAAAGTTGTGCGAGTGTGAGGCTTTTGATCAAAATTGAATCTGGTTTAAGACTAAATTAAAATAAGTAAATGTATCCCGCTCCTAGAGCATAAGCTTTTTGAGCCGTGATTAAACACTTAAATCTGATTAGTGACGAATTATGCTTTTTGCACTTGGATTGAAAATTCAGGTTCTCTTGCACAAAAAGAAATACTGACTATAATAATATATACATTCTTGAGAGGGTCGTGAAATTACATGTTCTGGCATTCAGCTTAATTTTGATATATGCAAGCTTACACTTTTGCTTGCTCTGTTTAATCACACTTCTTCATGCTAATTCCTATAGAATCTTTATCATAACCTCTCTTAATGGATCTGTTTTGCAATTTGTGTAAAATCTAAGTAATAGTAACTAATTGAATTCTAGGGGTTTTGAACATATAGGGAAGATGAGTCCGAAAATATGGCCACGGAAATGCCAATTGGATTAAGCTATTTGTACATTTTGATTGGACACCTTGGTTGACAGATTGATGATGTGGAAATGATATAATGGTTGGATAAAATATGTGAGATGTGAAAGATGATGTAAGATTGTGCCTAGTGTAAGTTTGGTAAATCGGATTTGTAAACCAGGTTGTATATGTAGCAAGATTGATGCCAATTTTGATGACATTCAGTATAATGACATAGTTAGAACAGCTGCTGTGGACCCCCATCACTGAATTGTGTCTTCTTAATTCTTGTCTCCCATCACTGAAATTTTGTCTTCTTGATTCTGGTTGTTTGCTGCCCTAATATTTGTCTACTTACCAGGGACATATGTTAATTGATCTAGGAATTATGTGCTACACATGCCTGAACAATTTACTCGTGCTTTCTATTCTTCTAGCTTAGTTCATATACTAACATTGGCCTAGACTAGTTTCCACACCGTTGGTCAATTGCAATTGATAATAATATTTCATCTTATATGAAATTACTCTAAAAATAATGTTAGTTTCTTTCAAGTCATTCTATGTATATGATCTCTCAAGCTAATAAGCTGATCTTCTTAGCTTTTCTGCTGATTATCTCTAATTAAACTTGTTAGTTCCTACTTTTCTCATCGATCAGTAAACGTTGGTATTGACTTGAAACCACGTGGGGACTTGCCAAAGCATTTACGTCAGTTTCAGTACAAAATTAAAATTGCGCATATCAATTATCTCCATGCAATCATATATCATCACAATGTTAGTTTTTAAAGTACTTATTGGCATCTTTTGCTATTTACACCCATGGGTATGATTTAGGATGCACTGGAGCCTCATATGAGCCGTGAAACATTTGAATACCATTGGGGAAAGCATCACAGGGCTTATGTAGACAACCTCAACAAGCAAATAGCCGGAACAGAACTAGATGGAATGACATTAGAAGATATAGTAGTTGTTACGTATAACAAAGGAGATCTCCTTCCACCCTTCAACAATGCCGGTCAGGTGTGCCTTATATAAAACTTAACCTTCTGTATGTTTTTGTACAAGCATATATATCGAATGCACAAGTCTGCACCTTATGTTTTCAATGTTTTGAGTTGACCATCACCAGTTAATGTGGGTCAGAAATTTTCTTCAAGAAGAGTTACTTCTTGCACATGAATTGAACCCGAACCCTCTGTTTCCTTTTCCCTTCTCTTGGTAAAACAAACTCTGACAAGTGCTTAAAATGAATTGGAAATAACTTTATTCATATAATTAACATAATCTGATACTTCTTACATGTTGTAACATTTTATCTGATATAAGTTCTTGTCTATTACTTGATTCACAGAATTCACAATTTCCGTTTTATTCATAAAAAAATGTGCTATTGGTTTACATGCAGTATTCATCATTTTGCACATTGACAGGTCTGGAATCATGATTTTTTCTGGGAGTCAATGAAACCAGGTGGTGGAGGAAAACCATCAGGAGAACTTCTAGATTTAATCAACAGAGACTTTGGTTCTTTCGAGGAATTTATTAAAGAGTTCAAGACTGCTGCAACAACACAATTTGGTTCTGGTTGGGCGTGGCTCGTGTGTAAGCCTTTGCCCTCAATTCTATCTCTTTTTCCTTTGAGTTTATTTATCTAATCATGATTATGGCTTTTTATTGAAATAAATTTATATAAATTAACAGCTTTTTTTCCCCTTCTTCTAGACAAAGCAAATAGACTGGATGTAGGAAATGCAGTAAATCCACGTCCATCAGATGAGGACAAGAAGCTTGTAGTGGTGAAGAGTCCTAATGCCATGAATCCTCTAGTCTGGGATTACTTTGTGAGTTTCATAGTGTCTTCCAATTTCCATCTTAATCGTATAGCTTCAAAATTTCCTAAATTATACCTTTTATCGACTTTGGTGTTATTGTCTGGTTCTTTCTTCTTTTTCTGGTGTAATTGTCACTTATTACCTGAGATTCTCATGGCTTTTTTCCTCATTTGTTGCAGCCACTACTTACTGTAGACGTTTGGGAGGTAATAATATCAAATTTTATTTTATTTATTCCTTGAAACTATGACTTGCAACTGGTTTTCATGTTTTATTGACGTCTTTTTTCCTTGTACAGCATGCTTACTACATCGACTATCAGGTGAGTAGTGATTTTCTTCATGTTAGCAACACTCATAGCCGATGCTTTCTCACTCTTTTCAACAACCTAATAGCGAAGTGACCATGTCATCATCTACAGAACCGGCGACCAGATTATTTATCTATCTTCATGGAGAAGCTTGTTTCTTGGGAAGCAGTGAGTTCCAGGCTCGAATCTGCTAAGGTTGAGGCCATGGAGAGGGAAAGAGAAGAAGAGAGAAAGAAAGAGGAGGAAGAAGAGTGTGGAACAGCAAATTCTGAAGCACCAGAAATGTATTTGGAAAGTGATGATTCTGAGGCTGATTGATTTCTCTTCAATTCAAAGTTAATAGGGTTTTGATCCAATTTTGATAAGATATTAGAGGATGGTATTAGCAAGCATATTAAATAACTCTGAACAAGGTTTCTGTTACTCTATCATACAACGGGAAAATTTCAGCGGCCTCTAAATATGCAATGCGAATCGATTGGTTCTTAGCTTATTTTAACCATTTCAGGTCCTGGAGGTTAAAATCAGATTTTTAGTAAATTTTGATAAAAATTGATGAAATATGTGATTGAAAAATTGTAGGTCTCATGAAATATGTAGTTAAAATTAATTATTTACTTTGACTTTGATAAAAAAATTGAATTTTAATTTCTAACAAACATGAGTTTCTTGGTCGACAATAACTTATTTCCAAATAACATTCTTGTTGACTCAGTCCATGAACAAATGTGATCAAATGGGTTAAGGAATGAACCAAACCAAAACCAAGTATTTTTTGCGTGGACAAGTTTGCGACTTGGTCATAATAGAGAGAAGGGGTGGCAAAGTCACAAAAATGTTGACATATTGATATACATATTGGTGAGTTGGCAAATTTTGGTGCATTGATTTTAACAACTTTTGTTCAATGCATGTTGCATGATCATTTTTTTCACACATAAAGGAATGTAATCAAAGGTGTAGAGAACATGTGTACAAGTAGATTAAACTGTAATGCTTAAGGAGATAATTTCATTCATCGTCACCGAACTTTTCACTTAGTGCCATAATATCCACCAAACTTTATTTTGTACCACTATGACAATTGAACTTCAACTTAGTGTCACCATGGTGGCCGAACTGTAATTTGTTTCACCATGGCCGTCGAATTTTTCACCTAGTTACACCATTGCCATCGAAAAATAATTTGTTACACCGTGGCCATTGAACTTTATAGGGTAAATAGCACGGAGGTCCCCAACTTAGAATATTTTGATGATGGGATCCTAAATCTTTAAGTTCAAGCACTCAGAGTCCCATACTTTCTTAAAACCATAATTTTATTATTATTATTATTATTTTCTCTATTTTGCCAATTTAATTTATTTTTTTATTTTACTTTTATAAAGAAAAAAATACTGTAAGACTTACCAACTTTAAAATATATATATTACTATTAACATAACATTGTTATATTTTACTAGCATTTTTAAAAAAAAAAAATCATATGTATTTTTTTTACTTTTTATTTTGAGAAACAATTTTTAAATAATAAATTAAACACATTTTAATTAAAACAGACCTCAGAATAGAAAATTGAAAAAGTACTCAAATTTTAAAAATGAAACACAAAACCAACTGGCCTAAATTTCTCTACATGGTCGAAAGTGGAGGAAGGAGTGGCAGCGCCGCTGGGCACCACCGACATGCATACAAACCCTTTTCATGGCTATCTTTCCGTTTTCACAACGCAAAGTTTTACAACTCTTAAAAACCCTCTCTCCAAATTCATTTGCCTATTCTCAACCTCACTCTTACCTTCAAATCTTGCATACTTATTCTCCGAACAATCCACCGCCACCGCTTCCGCCGAAGAACCCAACAATGTTGAAAATGATATTCACCTTCAAAATGACAAACCAGACAAAAGCAATAAAGCCCGAACAATGGCACGGCTCATCAATACAAAGCCCTGGTCAGCACAACTCGAATCCTCCCTTTCCACTCACACTCCCCTCTCCGAGACCAGCGTCCTTCAAACCCTCCGCCTCATCAAGGCCCCTGCCAACGCCATCCACTTCTTCAACTGGACGCAAAACACGGGTTTCACCCACAGCGAGCACTCCTACTTCCTCATGCTCGAAATTTTTGGTCGGGCCCGAAACTTCAATTCCGCTCGTAAATTCCTCCTCTCTATTCCAGCGAAGTCCAACAATGCTATACCACTAACTGACAAGTTTTTCTATAGCTTGATTAGGAGCTATGGTAATGCCAGGCTTTTCAGGGAATCGATTAAGGTATTTAAAACCATGAAATCAATGGGTATTTCGCCTTCTACGACTACATTTAATTATTTGTTTTTAATTTTGCTCAAAAGGGGTTGGCCGGGAAAGGTTTTTGAGTTGTATGATGAAATGCTTAAGACTTATGGTGCAAAGCCCAATTTATACACGTTTAATATTTTGATAAGAGGATTTTTTATGAACTCGAGGATGGATGATGCATTTAGATTCTTTAAAGAAATGGAGTTGTTTAATTGCAAACCGAATTTGATAAGCTATACCACGATTGTTGAAGGGTTGTGTAGAGCAGGGAAAGTGAAAATAGCGCACGATGTGGTAAAGGATATGCATCTAAAGGGCGAGAATTTGAAGCCGAATGTTATTACTTATACGATTTTGGTTAGAGGGTATTGTTTCTTGGCTCTCAAACTGTGTTACAATCTTGTATTGAGGGAGATGGTTGATTGCGGGATTAAGCCAAATGACATCACTTATAATATAATTATACATGGGCTGTGTGAGGCCCAAATGTTCGATAAGATAAAATATTTTTCAGATCGTGGAGAGCGTGGAGGATTTGTGCACGATACATGCACTTTTAACATGGTGATGAATTCTCATTGCAAAGTGGGTGACGTGAGTAAGGCATTTAAAGTTTTTGAGAAAATGAAGGAGCTGAAGGTCCAACAAGATTCGGTCTCGTACAGTGTGCTGATCCGGGGTTTGTGCGAGAAGCTGGATTTTGGGATGGCAGAAGAGTTGCTTGATGAGTTATTGGTGAAGGAGATTTTGCTGTGTGATGATGGGGTCACTACCGTTGTTGCAGCGTATAATCCCATTCTTGAATATCTTTGTAGAAATGGGAAAACGAAGAAAGCTGAACTAGTTTTCAGGCAGCTAATGAGAAGAGGAAAACCGAATCCTATGGCTTATAAAACTTTGATCTTGGGGCATTGCAAGGAAGGAACCTGTGTAGCTGGGCACATGCTCTTGGTCTTCATGCTGAGAAGAGATTTTTTTCCTTTATCTTGAGACTTACGAGTCCCTAATTGAAGCTCTTTTGCAAAAGGGTGAGCCAAACCTTGCCCATGATACTTTGGAAGTGATGTTGAAAATTTCCTACCTTCCTGGGTCATCTACTTTCCAGCATATTCACAAGTAGTTACATAATGTTATATGAGGTTACAAAGAATACTATATGGNAAGGGTGAGCCAAACCTTGCCCATGATACTTTGGAAATGATGTTGAAAAGTTCCTACCGTCCTGGGTCATCTACTTTCCAGCGTATTCTCACGGAACTTGTTAAGCAGGGTTCTGCCCTTGAATCTGCTATCTTGGTGATACTAATGTTAAAGAAACAGATAAAACAAAATATCAGTCTCTCAACAGATACCGTTAAGCTACTCTTCACAAGTGGCATGCTGGATAGGGCATTTGAGGTTGTTAGAAGATTTTATGAGAATGGTTATGTTATGAACATGGAAGAATGAATTGCATCCCTTTGTCACAGTAAAAAGTTGATGGAGGCACATAAATTGGTTGTTTTTAGTCTAATGTATGATCATAATATTGATGTGGCTGTATACAATACAGTTTTAATGAATCTGTGTAAAGCCCATAGGGCGTCTGAAGCAGTTGACCTTTACTATAAAATGTTAGAGAAAGGAATTCAACAACCTTTGGGCTGCATAGAAGATTTGAGAAGTACTCTGGAAGCTCAAGGGAAGTTGAAGGAAGCTGAATTTGTTACCAAGAGGATGCCAAGTTCACATGTTTAAGCAGAGATCTTAGTACTTGTAATACCATTGTTTCTATCTCTTCTTTATGTATGTTTTTCAATCAGGATTATATGTTAAATACTAGTGTTCCTTTTTGTTCAGATTTTCTGTATGACAAATCTACCTCTCTTCGAATGCATTCATAAACGTTTCAACTGTTCTGAGCTGGCAGTTCGATAAGAAACATTGCAATCAGCATTTTCCAAAGCATCAAAGGCATGCCTCAACCATTCATCCAAAGCGCAAAGTTTATGCTTTATCTTTGCCAAGGCTTTCGCATTGACTTGCTGAGACTCGTGTCAAGGCATAAGATAGCCGATCCATTACTCAGGAACTTTAAAATTCTACATTTGATGCACCTACGGCAACTACAACAAAAGGAATAGTTCATTGTAGTTTGTAAGAATGAGAGATTCATGGCAAAGTTAAAAAAAACACTATTGGAGTATCAGATCACTATATATCTTTTCACAGGGCAGTACAATAGATCATTGATAATTTTATATGATTCTAAGACTGTTTGATTGCAAATGTGGAATTTGGGTGGAAAGAAAATGAATTATAGAAAATTGCATTGCCTAGAATTTGTTTTACTGTGAATTGTAATTAATTGTGTTTGATTGGTATAATTTTTCACCTGAAAAATGTTGAAAGTTTGGTGTCCGTTTGACTTCATTTGTCATGAAAATTATCCATTAAAGTGATATGTTTTACTGAAAATTGTAATTAATTGTGTTTGATTTGTATAATTTTCTACCTGGAAAATGTTGAAATTTTGGATATTTTGGTATTCGTTTGACTTTGTTTTCCATGAAAATTGTCCATTAAAGGGAAATTTTTTTTATAATTGTCCATAAAATTTGTTTTCATTGCCAAAAAGAAAAAAGTAACCTGGAAAACATATTCTCACCAATGTGGTGGGAATTGATTTTCCTTGAAAACCAAGAATTAGGTGGAAAATGAGGTAAATGCAGAAAATGAATTCCATGAGAAATTTAACCTATCAAACAATTTAAAAGATGGAAAATGGAAAACGAATTCCAACTTCCCTAGAAAATCGGGTGTTATCAAACAGGCCCTAATAGACTTTTGTTGGCTTTCTCAAATAAATTTTATTTTTTATTTGTCCAAAGCACTGGAACTCTGAAATTTGACACAATGTCAAGTGCTACTCGAAACCTTTTTTAGCGGTACGTAACAAACCTGCTATATTTTGTCAAACTGTAGTAAAATCAAAGTCAATAACTTGAATTCTATTTGTAAGACATCAATATATATGACGATAAATGTAAATAATTATGAAAGTGTTATTAAATTGTTGATTAAGTAGAATCCAACCACAATGAAAATAATCAAATGAAAAATAAATAAATAAATACTAACAGAAGTCCAAAATTTGATTTCAAGTCATTCATAACAAAGAAGCATAATAGTCAAGACTACACAAAAAATGAAAAAGAAAGCTCTCAAAGTAAAATTTTAAATTGAATTCTACAGCCGGGGCAAGGTGATGACACCAATGATGCACCGTTATTTGGGAAGGGTAAAATACAGGGGTGGGGGGAAACGAAGACACTACAAAAAAGTCCCCAGGGATGATTGTTCATTCCCATGAAGGTCTAGTCTCTCTTGCAATATCATCTTTGATCCACTTTTGAATCGGTTTGATAACAAAGAGGTACTGTCACAAGAAAAAAGAAGAATCACAACTTCTGCACAATTAATTTTCCCAGCAAGCATAAGAGTATTAACTTTGAAATGTTCACCTCGAATAATAAGATGAGAGGGATAAACAACTTCCCCCTATCATTAGCATTTGGCCCTTCGATCAACTTCTTGTCAACAACAATACTCTTTCTCCCATTTAAGGCAATGTCTGTAATTGTATTAACCAAGTTAGGAATCCAAGGAAGCCCAGTTGTGAGGATCTGCAATCCGGACAGATAATCTCAGAGTACAACATAAATTTGAGGGTCGAATATAACTAGATGTGAAAAGGATAATAAATATTATATTAGAAACAAACTAACCTTCTCGTCATTTTCATTCTTGTTGCATCTCCCACTGTTCTCAACCAAAGCAACGGGAATAGGAAAATCCTAACAAAGGCAAAAATAATATACATTATTGGAGATTCACAAAAAAACCAACGACAATCTATGCTCCTGTTTGAGCCACATTCAAATTTTCATTCTCATTTTTCTCCTAATTTTCAACAACACATTTTCCAATAAAATAATATTTTCCATCACATCAATAACTTTTCCTTCTTTTTCAACCACACATTATCCATTAATCTACTATTCCAAAATACATTCTTCCAAAATAATGTGGCCTATATATGAACTTCAACTGAGATAAAGTGCAAAAATTGATTTTAGAATCTGAGAAATGGTACAGCGGTTTGAATGAGATTGACGAAAGCCACCCAACTGTTTTTAATTTAAGATACCCATGACTTGATAATTTCCTCAGTTGTTGCTATCCAATTTTAACAAATCATGATATCACCCTCCCAAAATCCCTATGGATTCATCCCAAAGGAAAAAAAAAATAGTAAAAGAGACGAAAGGAATTATTTATTTTTTTGTGTGCGCGCGCGCGCGCGTGTTGGGGGCTCCCTTTCTGCACTTCACAGAATTAAGACCCCCTCAGGTTAGCAAGCTTCTCAAACAAAAAAAGGGCATTAAACAACTACAGCATTGATTATCCAACACACATTTAATCTAACGGCCTCTAGATAAAAGACCCCAGCATGCATGGAATTAACGTGTATTTATATGTTGAATTTGGGTACACAAATCTTTGTCCGCAAGAAATTTGAATTTGGATGAGAGATATTTCCTGACGCTTCACATTTTATTGGAGCTCCCTTTCTGTCCTCCCAACCAAAATCATGCATCAATAACATGTGTACTACATGCATCATTCCAGGTATAGTAAAACTCCCTGAATCCTTGAGCTTAGGAACTTGACCAAAGCACTCTGTCAAAGCCACGCTTAAGATATTATCATATTTTTCTATAATCACTCAACTCAGATAAATCAGAAATATTTTCATCATATAGACAAATATGAGAAAAACTGATGGTAATAATTTTGTAAGTTTAGAGCTGGAAAAGCTACAATCCATCTGGTAGAGTAAGAAACTTGCCCATAAAATAAATGGAGAGTTTCCTTGAGGGACTTGAGAATGCACGACTGGGGCTTTATCTGGCACAGAGGTTTTTATGAATTCACTATGTATTCCCAGACTAATTGAGACTTTTCAGTTTAAGATATCAGGTCTCATTAAAATATTTATGCATTCACTAGAGATGCTTGTTGAAAGTTTCTTTTGAGAATTCCTACCCCTAACCTCAATAGCAGCAGCAAAGCTACGAGATTGCATAACTCAAATCTACAAAAAAAAGTTGCATATTTTGTTATGTTGATTATTTTGAAATGGAGGTTTTAAGTATTCGCTAATTGCTTTTCCTAGATTAATCTGGTCTTAATGTTGAGGATCTCAAAACTACAGTACTGCTTCAAAGCTACAAGATTAGTCTACAAAAAGAGTTGCATATCCTCTTCCTCGTTATTTTTGTTGTATCAAGAACTAAGTTGTAAACGTGTTGAAGAACAACTGTTCTTTTTGGTGCACCAGTTTTCGTAAGACGAATTCCACTCAGCTGCCCAGGATCATGGTTGATTTTGAATCATAAACATGTCATTCTTCTCACATGAACTCAGCTATAAATGTTCCTCTCCCCTTATCTTATACTGCTGACCATCAAAAATAGACTTTAACTTCACGGGGTGGAATAAGGAAAAGGTAATAAGTAAAAGCATACCTGAATATCCTTTTTACTTATCCGAGCTCCCTGACGGATACATTTCAAAAGAGACTCGGATCTTTTGGAAAAGAATTCCTCATAATTCAATCCATCCGGAGGAGATAGCTGAGCATGTGTAAGGACAATCAAACCTTTACGCCAGATTTCTTTGCCAAAACTCTCGGTTATAGCTTTCACAACTTGCTTGTCCAGATTATCCACTCTATATGCATCCAAGCGGTCCACATAAAGCAAAACGTCTATTGTCTTGTTCAAAAGGAACCTTCCCAGGAAGCTGAAACGATATTCATTTCCACAAACAAGAAAAAAAATTGAAAAATAAAATAAAATCATCTAATCAAATATGAAAACTGAAATCGTATAACCAATGATGCAAGTCTGATTCAAACCCTTTTATGGTCTCGAGATTCTGGTCACTGACATATCCTCCTTCAATGAGCCCTGGGGTATCAATAATGTTTAGCGTAAATCCTGATCGAGTGCGTGACACCATCACAGGTCTTGGAGTTTCTGACTGAGATATCATGGTATAATTATTACGCTATCATAATCAAATAAAAGACCCAGAGTATTTATTCTCTAGATGACAGAGAACAATTTATACCTGGAAAGCACTAACAGCAACTACTCGATCCCCTATAATTGAGTTAAGAGTGGAAGATTTTCCCACCCCACCTTTCCCCATTACAAGGATAGTCAATGTATTCACATCCTACGGAAAAAAATTACAAACAGCATTACAGCATCTGAGCTACAGTTATATCCACCATAGTATACATAGTCAAAAACGATAAGATAACCCACATTTTGGCCAAGGAAACAAACATTAAGACATTTTGTTATCATTTTTAACACACGAAATTCTATTTGATATTCTAAGATATTATATCGTGTTTCCTGGTAACCAAAACTAATACATAACGAGTTGAAAATAAGCTGGATTAGAGAGGGAAAAATTGAACCTGGTTCTTTAGTTTCCCCAACAAGTTAACCAATTTCTCCTGGGTGGCTGCAGGAAATTGCTGAAATGAAGTCCATTCTCTGACTAAATGCGTTGCCATTTAATGCTGCCTAACAAAGAAAAGAAAACTTCTTCTCTAAATTCACCAAATAATATGCATCCATAAAGCCCAAAAACAAAGTAAAATAGAAAAATTATTCTAAATTCACCAAATAATTTGCATCCATAGAAACCCCACAAGCAAGATAAATTTTTCATATATGATTAAATAAAACATGAATTTTTTTTTCTAAAAAAGGAAAATCATAAAAACCCCAAAACCAGAATGCATTGAAAGAACGGAGTGAAGGTGGAGTAATAGAAAGACTTGCCAATTGGGGTGTACTTTAAGAATGAAGAAATTGAAAGACCCTTTGGAGAAAAAGAAAGAGGGTTTGAAAAACCCTTGAGAATTGAGATGACCTTATCGTCTTCGAATTCTGGCAAGTTTTAGTTCGCCGTCTCTCTCTCTCGAATTGTCTTGTTTTGGATTCTCTTATGAGCTGGTGACCGATGACAACAATCATGTGATTTACTATGCCCCCATTTGAGCCATATTAAATTTTTATTATCATTCTTTTATTCATTTTCAATCAAACATTTTTCAATAAAACAATATTTTTCATCACATCATTAATTTTTCCTTCTTTTTCAACCACACACTCTCCATCAATCTACTATTCTAGAATATATTCTTCCAAAATAATATGACTCAAACACACCTTATGAAAATTGACGAAAATAGCACAGAGTTGGACCGCTTAACAATTTAACGATTTTAAGTGCTAGCACCTTCTTTATTTCATCATTCTAGCATCGATTTAAACTGCTCAGTAACTTATCCTTTTCCTATCGAATTAGACAAAATAACACAGTTTGTTACACATGATAAACGCATGTAATGTGTCGTATTATGCACAGGGACGGAGATAGGGGGCAGGGGGGCGACCGGCCCCCAACATTTTCCGCTGGTCCACTATTTCTAATTAATTTGTAATGTATTTTTCAATTTCGCCCCCGCAAAAATTTTGACTCGCTCCCGCAAAATTTTGAAATTTTTTTTTCCCATTAATAAATATTGACCCAATAACTTACACTTTAAAATTCAACCATACAAAAATTTTAGACTTAAACAAAAGATCCAATAGTTATTTAAATAAATAAATAGCTCAAATCCAATCCAAAAGCAAATGACTCATTTATGAATCAATTACTCAAAAGCAACTACAGAACGTACATTTTCAGCTATGAGTGTTATTAAGATAAGGTTGCGTAATAGAATGGAAGATATTTTTTGTCCAGTACCATGCTTGTGTATATAGAATATGAGATTGTTGATACTTTTCAATTAGATTCTCTTATTGATTAGTATGAGTGATGAGGACAAGGAGAGACCAATTTCAGATATCTAAGTCATCTCTATCATCTATTATGTCCATCTAACGTTCATATTTTCAATTTGTATAGCGTTAGACACATAGATGGACATATTGTTTTTGTATCGACAAACTGATTGTCTTTTTGATTAGTCAATCTAACTTACTTATTTTAGTACTCAAAATTGTCGTTTTCAATCCACTTAGTTAAAAAAAAAAATTAAAGGGGCTCCACCCCCGAACCCTAGGAAGGGGGCCCGCCCCCCTCCACCCCCTTATTTTCGCCCCCACAAGATTGAAATCTTGGCTACGTCCTTGATAATGCATGTGTTACATATGTAACACATATTTTTTTAATTTTTTTTTTGTAATAAAAATAGTATTTTGTAAATTTCAAAATTTTGTATTATTTTTGAAAATAGTTTTGTTTAAAGTGTAGTTTTGAAAGTACACTTTTGGATACTAGTTAGGGTAATCATCGGCCCACTTGTAGATTTGCCTACTGCCCAAAACTTGTGCAATCAATTTTTTTAGCCATCAAACTTCCAAGTTAATTGTTTCAACACACATCAAACTTTAGATAACTCACGTTTCAATCACTATATTTCAACTTGTATCCTATTACTCACTGAACTTTATAAAGTTACACCCCATTACTCACCGGCAAACTTCCGTCTTTAACAATTGTACCTGTGGATGACGGATTTCACGTTTGACAGTTAAATCAATCCAACCCAAAATATCCCAAACACGCCTCACCCATTTTCACATTGAAATCCTCAGTTAGAAACCATATTCTCTCATAAACGTTTAGGGCTGAACATGATCCGATTCGGTTAACCGAGCAAAAATTTTTGAGTATTCAGTAAGTGGAACCGTTGGATCCAAATTTAATTATGGAACCGTTCGGGTACGATTCCATTACGTTCAGTTTGGTTCGATTTGGTTCCCAAGTTTCGTATAATAATTATTTTTTTATATTTACAACAACGTTATATTAATTCAACTATAACATGTTCAATCTTAACTCTTACAAAATAACGTAGTCCAATCTAGTGATATCTTTTGCACATTTCTTTGTTAAGTTCTGCATAAGTGTGACTGTTAAAATTACAAGAAGATGAAGATAGCGAGTTCACAATAATAGAACGGCATAAACGATATTACAGTAGAATAAGAGATTTGTGTAAAATTTAAATCAATTTGATTAAGTTGGGTTAGGC